GTGTAAAAAACGGCCAGTAGTAGACAGATGAGGTGTGTCCAGCTGCAGTTAATCAGGTACAGGTGTGTGGGGGTGACCTTTCTGTCCCTGTATGGTTCTGAGAAGAACCTTACAGCCAACCAAACTCCAGCGAGCGCCCGGTTGAAAATATGTTAAATGAACCATTTTCAGTTTGTATGTTGATTATATTTGTTAAAACAAACAGAAAAAGTTTCATACTGAAAAATACTTATAACTATTTTTACATTCATGACTATTTTTAAACTTTGACACAGGTCATCTTGACCCGCATCTGAGGATTAAAATGACCCTTAAGGTTCCTGTAATAGTGTATCTAATACATTCAGAATAACAAACAATAAAAAAGGCAGAATACTGTCACATACTCAATCATGTGAACCTGCCAAGTCAGAAACTTGCACTAACGTCATACAAATACCGTATTTTTTGCCCCTTATTTCCCCAAAACTGAACGTATCAGTAAAGTTTAATCACAGTGATTTTATCATCTTAGCTGGACACATATTCTCACTATTTATGTTTTTTCAACATGTCTGAAGAAGAACATGGTTGTCTGGCGACCGGAGGTAGTTTGAGCAGCTGGCAAATCTCATTGCACTCTGGTCCGTGTTGCTCCTCCAAGAACAATCTGAGCCCTCTGTCAGCGAAGTTACCTGGACCTTTGGGGGTCCTGGTGGAGTGGATTTGTGGGTCAGTGAGGTAGGTCAGACCTTTCCCATTGGCTGTCACCCATCCTGGTGAGAAAAAAAGGAATAAAACTTAGCATAACCATCATCAATCATTACATATTAAACTACTGTGAATAAACCGCCACTCATTATCATACCTTGCAAGTCTACAACAACTTCCTGACCCTTAGAGAACAAGTAGGTGAAGTGTCCAAAGGCAAGACCATATTCTGTAGCCTGGTAAGTCTTATTCTTTTTGTGGGTATTGTTGGTCAGTTTGACGAAGTCTCCGAGCATGTACGGCTCCACTGTCAGGCAACCCACTATCTCATCATCGTTTAAAATCTGATCACCAAGACAAAAAACAAACGAGATACCCTGAAACTTATGGAAATTGGTTGATACGCAGCTCTTTGATACAGTAAATCAGAAGAATTTTGTTTGTGAGATGTAAAAGTATTCATATTGTAATAGCTGTCTGTTTCTCAAATGATGTGTTCTAATGAATTAGTGTCAATAAAAACATTTCTTTTGAAAGCAACCTTTGCTGTCTCTACTCTTCTGATTAAAATTTTACTCACCAGAAGTGCTTCTGAGGGAATGAAAAAGATCTGAGCCATGACTTCTTTATCGTAGAGACTCTTGTTAAATTCCGTCACATAGTACTGGGCTGTCATCTGTCTCTCCACATCTTTCAGGTGGAACTGAACTCCCTTTGGCTTCAAGTAATCTTTCCCCACATAACTACAGACATCATTACGAAGACAACATTAGATGTCAAGACATACACAATGCGATAGTTAAGCCATTTAAAGGTTGTTCCAGGACTGTCTTACCTGCTTAACCTCTCCTCCTGGTGCAAAAACTGGACCAATATTGCTTCTCTCTCATTGCCCTTCATCCCCATTGGCTCCCCGATGTAAACACATGTCTCCTTGGCTCTCCAGAGACCTGTGCCCTTGGAGAACTTTAAATGAAGGGCATCTAATTGGACCAATGGGCAAGAGTTAGCAGGCTTTTGTAATGTTGATAATGGTTTTACCTGTGTGTGTGTGTGTGTGTGTGTGTGTGTGTGTGTGTGTGTGTGTGTGTGTGTGTGTGTGT